TAGTTTTAGCCTTAGATATATTGGGTGGAGCCTTTGAAAGTCACCCAGGACATGTGACAATTCTTTGCCCTACTGGATTGTTCCCTGCATTGCTGGACCTCTAATATCCCTGACACATGCCCATTAAATGCTAGTAGAGCCTTCATCCCACTCCTCCCTGCATCAGTCTCCAAAATGCCTCCATATATATCCAAAGGGCCCTCTAGGGGGCGGTACTGCTACCATTTTGAGAACTGATTTAAAAGTACCCAGGTATTTATTTACTACATAGCTATGTTGCTCATGGAACTTTAAAAACCACAATAACTTAAGTATCGTGAGTCTTTAAATATGATATGTTTTGGATAATTAAGGCAGTTACAGAATTGTGATAGAAGTTGATTTAAGTGCATTGTTTTGTTGCAATTCTTGTAATCAGATCAATAAGTTTGCTATTTTAAGTACCCAATACCATGCATTTTCTTTATTTTTTTCCACTTTTCCTGTTTAGTAAGTCAGTAGTATTTAGCTTTCTTTAATGTCAGCATTTAGTTAGTTGATAGTCATACAATGTAATTTGTCCCTTATAAAAAAGAAACCACTTTTTAAGTTAGGAAGATAATTTAGTAACATTATAGAAACTTTGTAAAATGGAGGCAGAATTTCCTATAATCTTGTCACTCTAACAATTGTTGGTATTTTTCTTTGTTTTGTTCTCTGTGTATGTTTTGACATTCAAAAATTTTGTATCTTTTTACTTAACATGGCATAAATTTTTAATGTTATATAACTTTCAACTATTATTTTAAATTACTGTGTATTGTCTTACTAGATTCCACATTTTCCTTCCTCTAGATTGTTCACATGATACAAATTATTATATATAATATATGTAGATTTATGTGAATATATGTGTATACATATATTGATAAATCTATTTAAACATATTTTTATTTTTTCTTTAGGATAGAGCTCAGAAGTGGGATCATTTATTCGGTCATTAGGCTTGAACATTTTTGTAACTTTTAGGTGTTGCCAAATTGACATTTAAAAAAAAGCTGATCCAGAAAAACCCCCAGCTGATCCATTTATATTGCTATCAATATATGTAAGATGTCAATATGTGAAAGTATCAGTCTCAACTCATCCTTTTTAAAATTTAACTTTTAAATTATTTACATTTATTTGACTCTTTGTGACACTGAACATTTTTTGTGTTTGTGAATTATTTCTGTTTTCTCTTTTGGAAAATATATGGTCATGTCCTTTGACTTTTTTTTTGAAAATCTAATTGGCTTTTATTAAGCAATTCATGAACTGGACAAGTAGAAAGGAGCTCTGAGGGCGCCTGGGTGGCTCAGTTGGTTAAGCGACTGCCTTCGCTTCAGGTCATGATCCTGGAGTCCTGGGATCGAGTCCCACATCGGGCTCTCTGCTCAGCAGGGAGTCTGCTTCTCCCCCTGACCCTCCCCACTCTCATGCTCTCTCTATCTCATTCTCTCTCTCAAATAAATAAATAAAATCTTTAAAAAAAAAAAAAAGAAAGAAAGGAGCTCTGAGGAGGTGTACAGAATGGAAGGTTTTTATAGGAAGGAGGGTGGGGCAAGGAAGTTATTAGCAAAAGAAAAGATGGTTCCCGGCCAAGACACCTTTTTTGGCTAGGGGAGGGAACAGCAGGGTTTTAATCTTGCAGATGACCTCACTAGTGCTGATCAGAAAATTTCAGGTTGGCTTCTAAAAAGGTCGCATTCCTGGGATAGTTTGAAACTATAGTGAACTCTTGGTTTGCTGTTGTGGGGGAGCAAATGACTCCTATTTGGGCTTGCTTTTTTCTTTCTTCCTTTTTAAGTTTATTTATTTAAGCAATCTCTACCCTCCACATGGGCCATGGGCCTCTGAACTCAAGCTCCAGTGTCACAGGCTCCTCTCTGCTCCTCCCCCAACTGACTGAGCCACGCACCCCCGGGCTTGTTGTTTTGTTTATTATTATTTTTTAAACACCAGGTTGTGCATATTTGTCATGGGAGTAAATCTGCTTTATCAGGATAAATACACCCAGTGAGCTGTGGAGGAAGGTGTGTCACTTGCCCCCATAGACCCAATCAGCCACCCTCCTCTAAATCTGTGAGTTTAGATCTCATTCTAGAAGCAGGCAGTGTGCAATTCCAGAGGCCTTCCTGAGGCCCCCTCGCATTATGTTTCAGAGACTTGCAAATTAAACCCAGGGGATCCTAGGCTCTTTATTATTATTTCTTGCTTTGTCCTTTGACTGTTGCTCTGATGGGTTCATGGTGTTTATTTGTTTTCCCTTCTCATTTTGAGTCAGACCTCTTACATAATTAAAATTATTAATGTTTCTTACATTCATTTTTTGGGCAGACATTCCTTTGCTGTCTTTGATTTTATTTTTGTTTTTTAATACATTAACGTTCCATTATCTACCGATAGAAGATAGTATGCAATATCAAAGAAAGGGGTGGAGAGTCAAGAGATCAGGATTCTGCAAGGAGATACTTACAATACATATTATATCTGACAAAGAACTCCTATCCAGAATGTATGTTATGAATGCTTACAAATCATTAAGAAACAGGCAGACAACCCAGTTTCTAAAAATAAGGAAAAACCCTAAACCACTACTTAATAAAAGATACCCAGATGTCTAAACCATCTGGCAGTATGTATGCTCAATGAATGCAAACTGATTTTGTATTACCTGTGTAAGACATAAAAGGGTGTATTTTGGGTGAAGATTTATTTCATTGTAAAACCACATTTATATTAAATTTTGGTCATCCAAGTGGAGTCACGTGTTTGCTAGTGTGGCCAGTTTAAATTTTACTGTACTTTTGTGGAGGAGAGGTCAGTTTCTTTTTGCCTTATCCTGCCTTTCATAGGAAATGATTGTAGGTTCTCCACCTTTTGAGTATGATGTAAATTTTTACTATCCAGCTGGTACATATTTCCTAGGAAAAATCCTTCATTAGAGATCAGTAATCTCTTTAGATCATAATGTCTTTAGCATGATTAAGGAGTATCTTGGGTTCCAGTGACTCAGTCAAGGTATGAGAGGGAACGGGAGGAAAACAGAAAAGGGTGAAAGTGTTGTGTCACACACAAAAATACATGTAAAAAACCCCACATAAAACATAAATTCATGTGGTGGTTTTTCTTCTTCGCCATGGGATATATTATGAATTATTTTTATCCTTATAAATGGAGTGATTATAAGAAATTCTTTCCTGCCTTGTGACAAATGCCCGTTTTGGACATACTCATCTCACTTAATCATCATGCAAGGATCCCAGCATTAGCACCTGTTATTGGTTACCCTATGTTTGGTTGTTCCCATGTTGTAGAATGTACTAAAAAATACAGTAATGTAAACATAAATCTGTTCTTTCAAGGGACAAAAATTTTTAATCAGCCCTTTTACATTCCCTAACATCTCTTCTAATTATGTAATGCAGTCTATCCTTCCTGGCATCACTAACCTCTCTAAGCTTGAACTCCCTTCTCACATACATACATACATACATACCCCTCTCTCCTTCCTGAGTAATATCTGTTCATACAAGATTGGAATACACTAATCAACCTGACATCCCCTTCTTTAAACTTCTTTCCCCTTGACTACTTACCCAGCTCTCAAAGGGTATTCACTTTTTGAGGCAAATTCATACCGCAGGCACATTTTTTTCTTGTATAAGTCTCAGGGGTTCAATATCTTCCCTTCCTCACAGGCCTTAAATTCTACCTCTTTGCCTTTTTTTTTTTTTTTTTTTTTAAGATTTTATTTACTTATTAGAGAGAGTACAAGCAGGGGGAGTGGCAAGCAGAGGGAGAGGGAGAAACAGGCTCCCCAGTGAGCAGGGAGCCCGATGCAGGACTCAATCCCGGGACTCCAGGATCATGACCTGAGCCGAAGGCAGTCGCTTAACCACCTGAGCCACCCAGGTGCCCTACCTCTTTGCCTTTGCTCAGGATACTATGTAGCATCACTGAATAGTCTTCCAGGTGAATAGTCCTTCTGAATTTAGGACCTTTCATTTCAGAACCATCATCCCCTGAATTTGAGCATCTCTGATACATTCAAATCTTTCTTCATCTGTGTACTCTTGTCATGATCTTTCCCTAACACGTATTTCAGTATTTCTTAATCAAGAAGACACCCCCCCACACACACACCCCACACCACCAAACATACACTTTCATACACCCTGACCTGTGACATTAGTCTTTTCGGGTATCTTGAATACAAGATACAAAGTTATACTTACTTTCTAGCTTCTCAGTGAGACAGGTAGCCTATTGATAATACTGTTAGACTTTCTTTTCAGTATTTTCATTGAATGTGAATTGTGTCCCTTTTCTGGAAGAACTTGAGTGTATATTGACTGTGCAACAATTGAAAATTCTCTGATTTACCATTGCAAAAAACAGTTACTATATATTTATTGTAATTTGCACCAGTTACAGAGGATAGTGTCTTGTACATTATTTCTGTTTACTTTTATGAAAAACTTCATTGCTGCGCTCCTCCAGTGAAAACAGTTTCTTGCCAGTTTTAAATATTAGGCAAGCCTTCTCTGCTACTTACCTCATTATCTTTACCAGCTGTATTTGGAGAATTCAAACTAATTTTATTACCTAGGTAAAAACTTAATGAGAAAGGATAATCTGTTCCCCAAATTCAAATACAAATTGCTTTTGCGTGATCTATAGTTTCAGATTAGCCATATCACAAACTTTTAGAGGGATAGTTGAGAATTGGTAGTAATAAAGATACATGGGGAGAAAGTCATGTAATACTGTATCAGTAGAGGGTGGGGGGATGGGTTAGCCTGGTGATGGGTATTAAAGAGGGTACGTACTGCATGGAGCACTGGGTGTTAATACGAAAACAATGAATTGTGGAACACTACATCAAAAACTAATGATGTAATGTATGGTGATTAACATAACTTAATAAAAAAATAATATATCAATAGAGATGCTAAATTCATCTTTGTTTTGCTTAGATGTCCCTGGTAGATTTGGGAAAGAAGCTTTTGGAAGCAGCACGAGCAGGTCAAGATGATGAAGTTCGTATTTTGATGGCAAATGGAGCTCCTTTTACTACAGACTGGGTAAAGAATGATTTTAATGTTGTGCTGGTTTGTTTTTTTCTCTTTCTCTCATTTATTAGTTTTTCCAGATAAAAATTTAGTATTTTGTTTATATGTGGCAAAAATTAATTTTTTTTGCAAATTTGTTTGTAGTTTTAGAATTATAGCTATCATTTAAAGAGAATGGTTTGTATCTTTGTAAGTCATATATAGATATCTCTATATATCTATATATAGAGATATCTAGATATCTAGATATGGCAACCTTATTCAAATGTTCTGTCCACAAAAGGATTTTTCTTTTAAACTATGGAGTTCAATATTGTAGGATGAATATAAAATGTAGCTGCTTGGAATTTAATTTAAAGGTTCTAAATAGCACAGCTAGAATTTATAATTCAGAAAATAACAGATAAAGATCCCAGTTAATGTTATAATTGCTTCTAAAAAGGAAAAATGTTTGCATTTCAATTGATACTTGTAACACTATTGCAAACATGACCAAAGAGGAAGAAAGGAGTGGGAACATGTCCTAGTAACTAGAGAAGGCAATTGTGAGGACAGCAAAAACCATAACTCTACTTAGTTCCTGGGGTAAGTCAAGAAAGAGATGATCTTGGCAGTATGGAGGGTGAGGAATGTGGATTAACCTGCCTACTGGTAACAACTAAAAATTCCAGATTTTAGCTTTTGTTGTTTTTGGCACACTTGTCCTATGTTCTTTTTTATTTTTCATTAAAAACAAAATAAAAAAAATTTTTATTATGGAAGATTTCAAACCTGTATCAATGCCTACATACCCTTCAGCCAACTTCAAAAATTACCAAATCATGGTGAGTCTGTTTCCACTGTAACCTCATCCACTTTTTTTATTCCGTATTATTTTAAAGCAGATTTTTTTTTTTTTTAAGATTTTATTTATTTATTTGACAGAGAAACAGAGCACAAGCAGTGGGGGCAGCAAAGGGAGAGGTAGAAACAGGCTCTCGGCTGAGCAGGGAGCCTGATGTGGGGCTCGATACCAGGATCATGGGATCATGACCTGAGCTGAAGGCAGACTCTTAACTAATCACCCAGGCACCCCTTTAAAGCAAATTCCATGAACTATTTCATTCCATCCATAAATATTTCAGCATCTGTCTTTAAAAGATAAAGAATTTTTGATTAACAATTAAAAAAATCTTTAGTGCACTGATGAGTTAGAAAGAAAATAAGGGACTATGAACCTGAAAAACTAAGTGAACACCAGAACCTAAAGAAATTTCACCCTAAGAATATTTGCTAACTTGGTGAATTTGCCTGTTGGTTTTCCCACCTCACTGGCATGGGTTACTGAAGACAGAGACCCGAGACTGCTCATAGAAGTCTCCTAGGAGATCTTCTCCTCTTAATTCAGGAATCCCAAAGAAATGTGCATTCTGTATAAGGTAAACCAGAAATACCCCCTCTCTCTTTCTACCTGCTTCTGCCCCTGACCCTGTTGTTAGGGTACTGCAAGAAAAATGAACTGACTTGAAACAAGTCACTAAATGGAGAGAGAAAAAAAAATTATTGATGAGGATTTGGAGTCACAGGCCATCCCTGCACACATTTGTGACCTGAACTCATAAATACTTGTGCATTCTGCAAAACTGTACACTAAAAAATGGATTTAAAGTGATCTTTGGACTGAGGTTACCCCAGGTTCCTGGCAGAAGCAAATGAATTTTCTTTCTGAGGGAACCTACCTTCATCCCCCCAGTATCCACAAATGAAATTCCAAAGAAAATGAACAGTCAAAAGTAACTAAATGCGCAAGGACACAAGGCCACTTGGACAATAACCCACTGAAACAACTAACAACAGAAGCAGACTGACAAGGATTTTAGATAATATTTTAAGCAGATTAGGAACAGCTAAGGAGAAAATTAGTGAACTGAAAGATACGGAAAGAAATCCAGAGTGCATTATAGAGAAAAATAGGTAGAGAATTTAAGATCTCAGGAGTCATGAAGGCTAGTGTGAGAAAATGTAACGTATCTAATCAAAAACCCAACGTATGGCTAGTGTGAGAAAATGTAACGTATCTAATCAAAAACTCTTGCTCATATACTTGATTCATACATCAAGTAAGATGTATGACTTGATGTATGACTTGATGTATGACTTCAGGCAAAAGAGCAACCTCTTAGTGCCTTAGGTTCTTTTACTACCAAATGAGGATAGTAACAGTACCTTAAGAGGGGAGTAAATTAGATAATATGTGTAAAGGTCTTAGAATAGTGCTTGCCACGGAAAGTGCTTTAACAAAAACCTTAGTTGCTAATATTATAGTAGTGGTCTTACCAAATTTCATGTTCTAGTGAACCATTTTTTTTTTAAGATTCTATTTATTTAGGGCGCCTGGGTGGCTCAGACGGTTAAGCGTCTGCCTTCGGCTCAGGTCATGATCCCAGGATCCTGGGATCGAGTCCCGCATCGGGCTCCCTGCTCCTTGGGAGCCTGCTTCTCCCTCTGCTTCTCTCTCTCTCTCTCTGTCTCTCATGAATAAATAAATAAAATCTTTAAAAAAAAAAAAGATTCTATTTATTTATTTTAGAGAGAGAGAGAGAGAGCAGAGGGAGAGGGAAAGGGAAAGAATTTCAGGCAGACTGTGCTGAGTGTGGAGCCTGATGCAGGGCTTACAACCCCAAGGTCATGAACTGAGCCAAAACCAAGAGTTGGACGCTTAACCGCTTAACTGACTGCGCCACCCAGGCTCCCCATCTAGTGAACTATCTTGATTCTTAGAACAGCAGTGCCTTGGTAATCAGATTGATAGGGACTTTCTGTGCCTCTAAATGCTTGTATTTTAATTCTAATTTTCATCTGTTAAACTGTATGCCTCTGATAAGGTTCTACATTTTAGAACTTCCCCTGCATATTGTGAATGTATTGTTAATGTAGTGGCTACACCACATGGAACCAATTTCAGGAGAACTGGGCTCTGTTTTGGTTCTGTCCTGACTCACCTTTGGCAAGTGTACCTCAGATTAGATTTTTTCCCTTGAAAAATGACTACATATGGGGCGCCTGGGTGGCTCAGTCGTTAAGCGTCTGCCTTCGGCTCAGGTCATGATCCCAGGGTCCTGGGATTGAACCCCATGTCGGGCTCCCTGCTCAGTGGGAAGCCTGCTTCTCCCTCTCCCATTCCCCCTGCTTGTGTTCCCTCTCTCGCTGTGTCACTCTCTGTCAAATAAATAAATAAAATCTTCAAAAAAAAAAAAAAAGACAAATGACTACATAAACTTATTTAAAAAGATCACTGAGTTGCTTTAATTTATTTTTTAAGTCCTACAAAACACTTTAATGTAAAAATCTACACTATTACATTTATTTGATACGAATTTCATAGATGAAAAGTTTTGTGTGATGGATATGTGGAAAACCTTCCAGTACTCAGAAAAATTTCTCACACCGTAATTATCTCTAATTCCTGATGGAATTAATTTTATTCAGGCTATTTATCTGTTAAAAAATAAGAAAGCAAGATTGAATTAAACGAAATACTGACTTTGCTTTGTCATTGACAAGTGTATGGGAATTCGTGAAAGCCTCTATGAAGAGAATGTGATAAGCATACATTATTATTTTCTTGAGTTTTGAGTTACTATGTAAACAGATAATATGAAGATAATCTGTTTGCCATGTAAAAAGAAAGTATAGAAGGTAGTAATAGAAGTGTGTTAAAAATGATTATAAATGTGGGGTTTTTTTTATTTTTCTTGCGGGATAGCTGGGAACCTCTCCACTTCATCTGGCAGCACAATATGGGCATTATTCTACCACAGAAGTACTCCTCCGAGCTGGTGTAAGTAGGGATGCAAGAACCAAAGTGGACCGAACGCCATTACATATGGCAGCTTCTGAGGGCCATGCCAGCATAGTAGAGGTTTTGCTTAAGGTATGTGTTCTCTTTTTGCACTCTGCTTTTGAAAGTAAGTCCCCGAAGGGTTACGGTTTTATAAGAGGGAGAAGGGAACTACTTTTATTGAATGTCTCGTTTTTTTTTCCTGTTATCTCATTTTTTTGTGTGTAAGCCCATCAGATGAAAATTATCTTAAAGTTTACCTTTGTGGGAGAAAAAGAACTTCCTCTAGGTATGTTCTTAGTTGACAGACAGACAGTTGATTTCTTAGACCTTGGTTTCCGTTATGATGAGGGTCTACAGCTTTGTCTTACTTGACACAGTTAAAATGCTTATGGAAAGAAACATAGGGCTTGGATGATTGACAAATAAATTAATAATACAAATAAGGATTTTTATTCTGGCCTTTAGATCAGCCTATCCAGAAGACATACAGTGTAAGCCACAAATGTGAATCACATGTAATTCTAGATTTTCTATTAGCTACATTAAAAAGTAAAAACTAATTTTAATATTATATTTTATTTAACCTCGTATATACAAAATATTATCATTTCAACATGAAATCAATATAAAAGTTATTAATGAGCTCTGTTACATCCTTTTTTTGCTGTTAAGTTTTTGAATTCCAGTGTGTGTTTACATATACAGTACATCCCTGTTGGGACGAACCATATTTCAAGTGCTTAATAGGCACATGTGCCCAGTGGCTACCATATTGGACAGTGCATCCCTGATAGCTCCCTTTTGATTATTTATATTGTACTGGCTTTGAAAGCAAAGGATATTTTTGTATAAATAAGGAACTAGAATTAAAGAGGGTTTTGGAGGAACGCTCATAGTTCTCCTTCACTTTTTTTTTTGAGAGAGAGAGAGAGAGCGTGCACACGCGCAAATGGGGGTTGGACAGAGGGAGAGAGAGAGAGAACCTCAAGCAGACTCCACAGTGCACAGAGCCCGACGCGGGGCTTGATCTCAGGACCCTGAGATCATGACCTGAGCTGAGATCAAGAGTCAGATGCTTAACTGACTGAGCCACCCAGGCGCTTCAACTTTTCTTCACTTCTTATGCCATTGTATCCCATGATGCTCACAGCTTGGTGACTGAAAAAATCATTGCTGCACTCCTAAGGAATTAGAAGGAAAACAGGAAGGTTAGCATGATAGAAAGCTGATTAAGTGTTGTGTGGAGATTCGTACAGATTATTCAACACAAAAAATAGAGAGCTGATCACGTTGGTAGCAGATTCTTTAGAGTCTAATGGCTAGTATTTTCATATTAGGAATTCTTTATATTTCGTATTTTAGAAATCTCTTATTTTGTAATATTTTTATAGCATGGTGCTGATGTTAATGCAAAAGACATGTTGAAGATGACAGCTCTACATTGGGCCACAGAACACAATCATCAAGAAGTGGTGGAACTTTTAATCAAATATGGTGCTGATGTACACACGCAAAGTAAATTTTGTAAAACTGCATTTGATATTTCAATAGACAATGGGAATGAAGATTTGGCAGAGATACTACAGGTAACTTTTGGCTTTTAATTTGCGAAAATAAAAGGATCTCTGTCTTGTGGATGATTTGAGCTGTTTAGCTTTTAGCTTTTCATTTTGGACTTGGTTATTTTGGACAGTCTTTTTCCTCTTTCACTTCCTCTTTGTTCATTTACTGTTCGTTTTTCTGATTGTAAGACTGTAGTCTTTACATGTAACATTAGAAGATTAGATAAGGTGATTACTTTCTGTGTTTTTAAGTTCCTGAATTCCCCTTCTAGACATTTCATTCTATTAATTATTTTTGTTGCATATTTGGATGCAGTATGGTTTTTCAAAGTCTGTTAAACTTCCACTAAAATTTTTCTTTAGTAGCTATAACAGTGTCCCCTGAGTGAGTAATATAGTCTCTATCACTCTGATTGGTTTCCTTTATTTTTCATCATCCTCAAAAAAATCTGGGAACATAGTTATTTATGGTTTTTGGGCAAGTTTCTTTCTTTCTTTTTTTTAAAAATTTATTTAGTTATTGGTGGAGGGGAGTCTTAAGCAGAGTCTGCACTGAGCGTGGAGCCCCACATAGGGCTCGATCTCATGACCCTGAGATCATGACGTGAGCTGAAACCAAGAGTCACATGACTCTGACTGCACCACCTGGGCCCCCCTGGGCAGGTTTTTCTAATAGCCAGTACTGCTTCTCTTTTCTTCAGCTACACAATTTTGATATAAATTATCTTCTTTACTCACTGCCTCTTTGCCTGTCTTCTTGTTCTCCTTCCCAGTAGAACTCTTCTTTAAGACCATCTTACTCTATTGAATTTCAGCTAGTTACTTAAAAGATTCTGTATGTCCAGGAAAATGAATTTTGTGATGCCTCTTGCAATTCTTTTACTCCTAGGAGTGCAATTCGGGAGCCAGGGTTGAAGATTGAGAACGGTTAATTGGGAAGGACATGCTTTATATGTATAATGATATATATTGCTGAATATGGTAGAGGAAATATTTAAGTAATTTGATTTCTGTAGCCACAGGGCAGCAAAATGTGTTCTATAAAAAGCCTTCCAGATATCCATTTCTCTTCTCATGGGATTTTGCTGCTTTCCCTAACAGGGAAATTAGGATGTAAATTCCTATCTGTGATTTACCACTGCACTCTTAGTAGACCATATACAAAGATTTCCATTTGTTTTATATGATTCTTCTTAAGTTTTAGAATTTCCTTTATGTTTGTGTTTGTACTACATTGAGAATCTGTGCTGTATGTTCCGGTTGTAATTCTGAAAACGCCGTGTTGATTTGTGCTCTAGATTGCTATGCAGAACCAAATCAACACAAACCCGGAGAGTCCGGACACAGTGACGATACATGCCGCCACACCACAGTTTATCATCGGACCTGGAGGGGTGGTGAACCTAACAGGTCTGGTATCTTCAGAAAATTCATCCAAGGCAACAGGTATTGAGATGCATATAGGATAGCTGTTGGGACTTTATGCTTTACTAGGTATCCTCCTTTTAAGAAAGGACTGTTGGAGAATGAGGGTAAGATTATATCCGTCACCTTGGTTTTCTTTGGTATTGGCAAAAACCGACTTTTATGAGACACAAGAATTTGAAGAAAGGTGATATTGCAAAGTGTACTGCAATATTATCTTTCAAAAACTAATGCTACACCCAAGCATGTTTTTCACAAAACGATGATCCAAGCTTCATTTAAGAGTTGAATTAAGTGAAATAGAGTATCAGAAAAGTGCATTAGATTAAGCTCCTTTAAAATGTAAATCTGTCTTCTCTTTTGTCACAGATGAAACCGGTGTATCTGCTGTTCAGTTTGGAAACTCGTCTACGTCAGTATTAGCTACGTTAGCTGCCCTAGCTGAAGCATCTGCTCCGCTCTCCAACTCTGCAGAAACGCCAGGTTAGAGAAACAAGGCAAATGTGCACATTAAAAGTTGGAGACTCAAATAGTAACAAAGGCTAGGAAGGTAATATAAAAGGCTAAAGTGAGCAGATTTCAGATGATGGCCATCCGAAGATAGGGGCCCAGGGCAGGGGGGCATCTACTATTTAGCTCTAGCTGATTATGGTCCTATGCACAGTGTTGCCAGATTCCGTTTTTCATGGGAAGCTGAAAATCTGGATTTTAAAAGAATGTTAAATCCTGTCAATTAATTAAAATCTGATTAAAATTAAAAACAAACTTGTGTGGTTCACAGGAAAACGTCTCTGATCCAATTGGCCTTGTCTGTGACTTTTTGTATAAAGTAGATAAATACATATATGAACTTGCTGTCTTTTTCATAACTTTTAATTTTTGTCAGTTCTATTAGAATGACCTAGAATCTTACTGACTGACAGAACTAGGAAGTAGCATGCCAGCACCGCCATTAAAGGATGACTTGATGGTGAATGATGATAAACAGTATCAATAGCTGGTTTAGACCAGGTTTTACTTTGACACGTAAGCAAAACAGTTCTTGCTATAATTATTATGTAAGTAAATGTCTTTTTATTTAGGGAATTTAGAAAACTTCACAAAATTATTATTCTTACTGTAGTTTAGGCCATTATATTTGGCTTATAAAAGTGCTTATAAAAGAATAATTTATTGTCACTCATTATTTAAGTTCATGTTTTTTTTCAATTTGTGCCCAATAATAACAGTAATGACAACAGATCATTGAGTGCTTACTTGTGTGCTGTGCCCTGTGATAAATGTTTTACTTATGATCTCACTGAATCCTTACCAAAAAGCTTGAAGATCTATATTACTGGATTTGACTCTTTAAGATGCTACTGATTGAAAGATGTGTTTTTTTCAGGGAGAAAAATGTACCTATTTCTCTCTTCTCTCTCTCTCTCTCTCGTTTCATTATTAACTAGTGATAATAAACATTTATCTGTTGTCCAACTTCTTCAGCATCATAATCAATGTTGGAATTAAGCCTTTGTATTTGGGAGTTGTAAGATTTTTCAGAATCACTTTTGGCTGTTAGCAGTTATGATATGCTGCTTCTATAACCTGTGCCCGGATCTCATTAGCATCTTTGTTATTGCATAGGCATAGCAAAGAAAATTAATTTTATTGGTGGTTTCTATTTCATTAAACTCCCTATTTTTTTGTCTTTAATTAAAGGATATATCTCTGAAAATTAAGCAGCTTTTCTTGAAGGTCAGCTGAAATTTTGACATTTAGGTATTTGGCTTCATGAATTAGTCATACCAACTTCTCTGACTTCTACTTTTGAAAATGTTACATATGGTCTAGTCTGAAAGACTAGGAATTTCAGTTGACTTTCATCGCATGTGATTTACAATCTTCTGTGAGCGCAGTAATTTTTCATTTCAGTGCTATGTCATAGTGGAATCTTTTTGAAGGTATTTTAAGAGCTTGAATTAAGTTAAAGTTCAGGTGAGTACATTGTCACCAGTGTATGTAACTCAGCTGAGGTGTGTAATCAGATCAAGAAATATCTTCTCACAGCTCCATTTCCACATGCTCACGCTCATTATTTCTCTGCTTCATGGCTGTTCAGTTTCTCTTAACATCATTGTCAGGCTCATCCTGATTTTAGAAAATACTTACATATATTTTTTCAAAGACATCCTAGTTAGGATCTGGGAAATAAAGTAGTACTCTCATTTTATATATGATGAAGCTGAGATTTATGAGGTTAAATAATTTTGCCCAAAGTAGCATGGCCATTAAGTGGTGAAAGGAGTTTTGTGCTCAAGGTCTGACTGAGTCCCAAGTTGTGTGACTGTGACCACTATAATATATTGCAGTTTCTTGGTGATCAGTGGACTGGTCTCTTCCACAGTGTTTATAATTTAGTTTGTGATAGGAATAACTATTTATGTGATTATCATTTTGTCTTCTATCAAACAAAAGCATCACTATTCTTGCCTTTACTCCTGAGGTGTGTCTGTTGAAGCAATCTGCTGAAATAAATGTTTTGTTCCTTTGTCCTTCTTTAATGGATGGGACATAGGGATTTAGATAGATGAGAACTCATTCCAGTTCATTCCATTTTGGAAGCTACTCCAAAATGAAGATATAGAAAAGTTAAAAAAATTTCTTTGGGAGATTGCAGCTGCTTTTTCCTCATGAGGAAAACCACTGCCATGTAGTGGCATACTGTATTAATGAACAGAGGCAGTTATGTTATCCTCTTTCTACCAAAGCTTACAGGCCACTCTGTTATAGGTATTTTCCCTTTGAAAAATCAAAACTCCAGGAAACTCACACTCTTACTCCCTTTCGTTTTGCTTTAAAACAAAACAAAAATGTGCAAACAGTAAAAATTCATGGAGGGATAGATCATGTTTTGGGTTAAAGGAATAACTCAGAACTGTTTTTGTGCTAAAATTTCCACTTACTATTTATAAACAGCTATTCATTTATAATGAGAAAAGTATTATTTATTCATGCATTGAACAGATTTTGTTGAATGTCTCTTATGACCTGGTTACTCTGCTTGGTGTTAGAGAGAAAATGGTGAACAATCAGATTCAATCCCAGCCCTTGTCAAACATGTGGTCTTTGGGTAGAACAAGATGTCCAGCAGTTACCCAGGTAAATAACTGTGATCAGTGCTATCTGTAAAGAAGGCAGGATTTTTCACCTAGTCTGGTGGTTCAGAGAATCTTCCTAGAGGAAGAGACATTTAAACTAAAGATGAAGTAGAAATTAGTAGAGCAAACTTTGGAGAAAGAACATTTGAGGAAGAGGGACACTTATAAAGCTTTTGAGGTCGGGAAGAGCTTGTCCTTTTCAGGGCACTTCAGAGGCCCATGTGGCTGAGCCCAGTGAGTGGGAGAGTAACTCATGGTGGTTGAAGGTAAGGTTATGAAAATGATTACTTTGGCAGGCCCTGAAAGGGAGTTCACTTAGGACTCTTAATGCAATCAACCAGGGAAGAGATAGTGGTGGCATGGATTAGGATTTGGCAAAGAGACAAGAAGTGAAAAGATTTGAGAATTATTTGGGATGTAGAATTGGAAGTTATAATTGATTAGTTGTAGGCCTTACATCTGCAGCATAGTTTGGCCCTTTAAAGTAAACTCTTTCATAAAACACTATTTTATGGCTCTAGCCTGAAGTCCTATATTGATTTTGTTTTGCTTAGCCTTATTCTTTTTTTGTGGCCCAGCTATATAATCTCTTGATTAAATAGACATCTGTGACCACCCTTCTTTTTATCTTTAGGGCAACTTCTGTTTGTTGATATGATGTTTTTCTAGAGGAGTAATGCATCTGGTAGTTGTTTCCCTCCTTTCTCCTAATAGTGAAATTTGATTCAGGTCCTCTCTGCACATTGTTTTTCTGCTGTTCCTAAAATAGATCAGTAAAAGTGAATTGGCATTAAGGGATAAATTACTGGGCTTCATAAGATTGTTTTGGTTTTGCTTTTTTGTTTTTAATTTCAGGTTCAATTGTAGGCCCAATACCTTTGAAATGTTTTCAGTGAACACAGTTTCTCACATTGAAACATTTATATGTAGAATTTTCAATCCTCAGATCATCTTAAAGACAGTTTTTTTCCTCTGTCTTATTTGAATTCTATGGCATTATAATTAAGTCTTGTTGAACAAGAGATCTCCGATATTTTCAATGATGCTGTAGACTATCTAGGCTCTCTTTATATATTACAATCTAACTTTTGATTTAGATCAATGAATATTACACTTATTTATTTTTTTTATCCAGGGGTTTTACATTTAGAGGGGTGTGTGTGCGTGTGTGTGTATTTTAAATAACACTCTTTTTAAAGTTTTTAGGTTTTCTTTTTTATTCTTACATGTTTCAACATTTCACTGTTGGATTGTTCTTAGGGTTTCTGGGGGACACTTTGTCTTCTTACATAATTGGTTTCCTTATAATTTTTTCTCAAATTCCTTAGTATAGCACAACTTAAAAAGAAAACTTTTTAGATGAAAGGGAGGAACTCTATTATTTTAATGATAGTCATTGGGAATAGTACAAAGATGAAAGTTCTTGAGTTGTGCCTTGATTGTGTGTGATCTCAGAAATTTCTTACATATGATTATGCTTTAAAGTATTTACTACTTGTAGTTAGCATTCAACCAGACTGAACATTTCTTTTTCATATGGATATTTTTAAGAAAAATCAAAGCAATAGCTAATGGATTTGAAAACCTTAGTAGTTGTTCTATTGAATATATTACTATTTTATGCCCTACATTTCATTTTATAATTATCTTCCTGAAATTTTCTTAAGTGCTTGGTGATAAAGCCTAATTATAGTTTAAGAGAAACAAAAATGAGAGAACTCAAAACATGAAGGTGTTTTGTATTTTCAGTATTCTCTTCTGCAGTTTGTACTGTGACCTTGATTATTACCAAATAACAGAATCACAGGGTTGCAGCCAGGGCTGTTGCGATACCATGAGTACATCTTTGAAAACTAGGGTCCCCATCTTGTCTTTTCTTTAAAAGGAGCTCATAGATACCCGTGGTGTTCTGTTGGGAGTTGGTAGCAACTTAGCACGTTTCAGAGCACCTGTGCATCTGAATGGTAGGTAACAGGACTCAGGAGAGAATGGTTTTATTTAATTGCACTTTTTGTAAAGTGTTACCTCAGATAATCCATGAAAAAAACCCATATTATTTAGAAACAGTTTTCATGTGATTTCTTTTTTCAGAATTAATATTGAATTGTTCTTTATTTTGTATAATTATTTTTCAGAATTATATATTAAATGTTATATTAAAACATTTTTTTAGATTGACAGTTTTCAAGCCCATAGAAAAATTGGAGGATAAACTTTATACCTTTCACCTGTACTTACCACCTGTTAAAATCTTGCCACACCTACACACACACACATACACACCCACACACACACTTTTATTATGCCCAATTATCTGCAAGTGGGCTGCAGATATCATGACATCTCACCCTTAAATACTTCAGCATATATCTCCCAAGAACAAGGACAGCGTGTTACATATTCATAGCTCCATTGTATTTCCTAAAAACATCAACATTAACTTAGTAACAGTATCTGACATGTATGTGGTCCACATTCAAGTTTCCCCAGTTATCTCCAGAATATCCTTTAGAAAGTGTTTTTCATCCAGGATCCAAGGTTCACACATTGTATCTGGTTGTGTCTCTTTCATCTCCCCCAGCCTAGGGCAGCCCCTGCCACTTCCCTTGTTCTTTTTGACATTGAAATCTTTGTAGAGTCTGTGCCCATTGTGTGCATGATCATTTCGTTCTGGATTCATTTGCTTAATAATAATTAGATGCAGGCCAAACCCTTCCAGGAAGAATACAAGTGCTATTGTGTAATGTCCTGTTGCATCACATCAGGAAGCACATGTAAGGCCACCCCTATCATGAACGCTTGGTGAGAGTGGTCACTGCCAGGTCTTTATAGACACCTTTCCCCTTACTAATCTCGAGAATATATGGATATCTTGTTTCTTGAAACATTTCAGTGGTTTTAACATCCATTGGTGACCCTTGTTTGAATCGATGATTACATTGGAGGTTACGATGATAATTTTTATTTTGTTAATTAGATGTCATTCTTCTATCAGGATCTTTAAAGAGGGCATGTATTGAATGGAATACTGCGTGTTATATGCAAACAATGAATCACGGAACACTACATCAAAAACTAATGATGTACGGTGATTAACATAACATAATAAAATAAAATTAAAAAAAAAAGATCTTTCCTCTTTCCCCCTTTCTCTCCTTTTTCATGAAGTATTACTATGGACAAATGGATTTTTAAAGATTCATTGTGTTATAATCCATTATTGTCATTATTCCTTTTTTTAATTAAGTTCAATTAGCCAACATATAGTACATCATTAGTTTTTGATGTAGTGTTCAGTGATTCATTAGGTGCATATAACACCCAGTGCTCATCACATCACGTGCCCTCTTTAATACCCGTCATTATTCCTTTTGATGCTTCTTTGTTGAAGTGTATGTAATATGCATACAGAAAAGTGCACAGATCATAAGTGTATAATATAATGAATTATCTCAATGTGATTACTCCTGTATAATCACTGCTTAGTTCATAAATGGGAAGAACACAGTGTATATTTTGTATCTGACTTATATCACTGAGCATGATTTTTGTCAGATTTATCCATGTTTTATATTTAGTCATTTTAATTGCTGTGTATTCCAGTGTATGAATCTACCACAGTCTGTTTATCCATCCTCCTTTTGACGGCCATCTGGTTGGTTTCAAGTCTTTTACTATCAGGAGTAAAACTGCTATGAATGTTCCTATACATACGTCTTTTGGGAGCAGTGGTTGGGCATAGGATTGCCTGTGGGAAAGGATTTTGGCAGCATTAAATTGTGATTTCTTTACCTAGGCAAAGCCAGGGGTGCTGTTTTCAGCTGCCAAAATCCTCTCTGGGCCTCTCACAAAATATTAAGAACACAGTTTTGGATTTTATTTATATAAATGTTAATATATTGTATTATTCATTATCATACAGTACTCGATCTATGTGCCACTTGCTATCACGGCAACCCTTGCTCATACAATCCAAAAAGGGAATACTGTTTATTCTGCTTACTTAAAAAAAATACAAATCTTCTTGTTTCATCGAATATGGAAATGCATATGAACTCATGTAAATATAAATGGAGTATAACCACATACAAAATTCTCTTTTGGATTATAGAATTTTATTAAGCAGGTGTAACCTTTGTTATATCTATTACCTTAGGAGATTTTATAAATTCTGTACCTCAGATAACTAAATGAAGAGATACATGTGCATAGTTAGCACTCACTTAATTGTAAATTTTGGGACTTGTAGTCGATGGTTTACATAGATATGTACAGCACCACTGCAGAGTGAATTTAATAAAAACCATGTAAAAGCTTTTCTGTGTCACAAAAAAGGGAAGACAAAAGTAGCAAAGCAAAAATAAACTTCTAGTCATACTTTTATGTATGTTCACTGATTTTTACATATATATATTTTTTCCAGTAGTGGCTACAGAGGAAGTAGTTACTGCAGAATCTGTGGATGGTGCCATTCAGCAAGTAGTTAGTTCAGGGGGTCAGCAAGTCATCACAATAGTCACAGATGGAATTCAGCTTGGAAATTTGCACTCCATTCCGACCAGTGGAATAGGTCAGCCCATCATTGTGACCATGCCAGATGGACAACAAGGTTGGTAGTAGGCAATGTGCATAAAGTTGGAATTTATTCTCAATGCTTGGGAAATTGTGATGTTTCTCAAGCATTTATTTTTGCCTTAAATTATATTTTTGTAACCTTTTACAACAGATTTGATTGGCTAATTTGATTTGCTTGGATTAGTATTGAAATTAACTTGCTTTTTCTGAGTATGTACTAGGTGGAAAGAAGAATTGGCTCACAAGTATTCTGGTTGGAAAATGAGCTTAAGTAAACAATTCAGAATCTGCTTTAGATAATAATTCCTTATGCCATTTATTGCTATTCAGATATCATACAGTCTTTTAAAAATACCATGTAAGAAAAGGCTCCTTACAAAGAAGATGGACTTAGGACTTGTAGTAGGAATGTGGTAGCCACTTTTAGCAGCTTTGTTGGTCATTTTCCCATTTTTTCCCTCTTGGAAACCACTGAGAGTAGTAAGATAGATTAAACAAAAGGCTGAGAAAACCATAGAATTCCACATTTTAAGTGCTGCCAAAACCATCTAAGACTGTTAGAGTCAGGGCAAGAGAACCTTCATGAAAACTCACAGTGGTGCATCAGGAAAAGAAAAGAGATTGATTGAGCTAAAAAATTCTCAATAAATACACACTCAACAAGACAGGGCCCAGTCTGCGTAGGAGGTGCTGTAAGCAGGGCTGAGGTAGAATAGGGCATGAATGCTGGGGGAAGCAGAAAGAGAAGGTGCAGAAAATTCCTTTCCGAGCAAGCATTGCCATGTACCCAGTCCCCCCACCCCACCAAAAAAATGTGTGTGCACATGCATAACCTTTTAGAAATTGATTAGGATTGCAGAGATTGTGTCCCTTCATGGCTAGTGAAGGAATTGGGGAAGTGAAGGGCTAGAGCTAGAGGTTTGGTTTAGAGTGACAGAGGAGGTATGGCACTATAGAGCGACTGGGGCTCAGGGAAAAAGTTTGTCTCTATAGCAGAAGAGGAACCGCTTGACTTGTGAAACCTGGGAAGCCATTCTCTTCTATTCTGCAGAAATCTCTGATGGCTAGTCCAAGATTTGGATCAGGCCCAGATGTTTTCACAAAGCTTCAAAGAACTAATTCTAATTATATAGAAATAAGAAAACTTCCACAGTTTGTATCAAGCAGATATAATGTTTCTAATACCTGACCATTATACAGACAGACTAATCTCATCCCAGGAACAAATGGAAAGAAATGTCACGTTTTTGGTTGAGAAGATTCACTACCATAAAGCTCTCCATTCTTCCTGAGCTAATTTATAAATGTAATGTAATATGGGAAAAAAAGAAAAAAAAAAAAAAAGATTGTTTTAGTTTGCTAGGGCTGCCACAACAAAATACCACAGACTGAACGACTCAACAGAAATTTGTCTTCTCACAGTGCTGGAGGTTTGAAGTCCAAGATCAAGGTGTTGGCAAATTTGGTTTCTTCTGAGGCCTTTCTCCTTGGCTTGCAGATGGCTGCCCTCTCACTGTGTCCTCATTGGTTGTCCCTCAGTCTGTTTGTGTTGTCTGTGTCTTAATCTCTGCTTCTTCAAAGAACACCAGTCATATTGGATTAGGGCCCACCCACATGACCTCGTTTTACCTTATTTACCTTTTTTAAAGGCCTGATCTCCAAGTAGGGTCACATTGTGAGGTACTGGGGGTTAGCACTGAAGCATTTGAATTTTGAGGAGGACACAATTCCTCCCATAACAGAGACCAACAGGTTTTTTCCTGGAACTAGTCAAACAGATTGTGAAGTTTATATTATTGGGGGGACAGGGAAGAAGAATAAGGAAAATTGGGAAAGAAGAGCAATGAGAGGAGCTTACTAAATATTAAGATAAACTTTTAAAACCTTCACAATTCAAAAGTGTATAACTGACATGTGAATATATACAGACTATGCAGACAGTCCAGTGAAGCACATATAAGGTTCTCAGTTCTTGGGTTAATTTATAAGTGTGATGTAATGTGAGTTAAAAGAAAGAAAACACGTTAATTCTCAATATCACTAATGTTTTAAATTACAGTGTACTAAAAATTTTACTTTTTTCATTTCTGCTTACATTTATAAATGATGGAGTTTTTAATATTTTGATAAAAAACTTTAACGGCTTTACCACAATTGTAATTTTTCCCCATTGATTATTAAAATTGCTATGCACAGTTCCAGCTTGCACAGTCATTTGTATGGTCCCACACTGCTTGCTAAGCAAAGCAAGGACAGCCTCTCTCTCTCTGTACATATGTCTACATCTGTATAAAGAACTACTAAAAATTAGGGACAAAGCCCAACAACCCAAAAGGAAAACAAGCGAAGTTTATACACAGACAGTATTCATAATGGTGTGTCCACACAGTGGAATATTATGCAGCTAAATAAAAGCAAGCGCTATATGTACTGATGAAAGATACCCTAGGTACCTGGAGTGAAGAAAGCAGAGGCAGAACAGTGTCTCTATTGTATGTGTGTTGCCTTTTGTATGAGACAGAAAAGTGAGAATGTATGTTCATGTTGGTTTTTATATAAATTAACACAAGAACAATAATAAACTAATAAAAGTGATTCTCTATTATGCTTATTGTTTTGATTTTCAGCCATATAATGAATATGTTATCTGTAAAAATTTTTTAAAAATAGGTACTTTAAACAGTAAATAGTATTCATTAAAAATGTACCCTGAAGACAAATATGGATATCCTCATAAAAAGAAAATTAATGCTTTTAAATTATTGTTTTGGGACATCTTTATTTTAGATGAGTTGCTCAACAATGTCACGACTAGTTTTATTTCTACTAAAACCTATCTGAAAATGAAGTAACGTATACATTTTTTTTAATTTTAGTATTAACAGTACCAGCAACTGACATTGCTGAAGAAACTGTTATAAGCGAAGAACCACCAGCCAAGAGACAATGTATCGAAATAATTGAAAACCGGGTGGAATCTGCAGAAATAGAAGTAAGGAGTCTTTTACCCGGTGTGTTTTGCTGCAGTCATCCAAAATAAATTCAGTTTGCTTGTCTATAATTTTTTTTTTTTTGGTCTTTTATATTTATTACTGACAGTGCTGTTTTGATACAGAATGAAAGTACATAGTATTATTTTGTCTAATTATTTGCTTATACGTATAGCAAACCCTCAATAAATACATATTGAATGAATGAATGAATGAGTGAAGAATTTGTTTATAACAAAGTCTGTCATCGTGGTAACATTGTAACGAATTTGGTTCTTGCACTCCATCCTTTATTTTCTGTTAAATTTACATGCATCATTCTCACAAGTCACTAAAGGAAATGTCACTGTATATTGATAAAAAACATTCTTTTCTTTTGAAAGTGAAATGTAAATGCCTATTTGGTCTGGAGGATCCTTTTAAAAAAGGTTGATATTTGTTGACTAGGTTATTTTTTAAAAAGCCATAAATAACTGCTTATTTCACTATTAAGTTCTTTAATAAGGAATTTAAATTTAGACTAGTTGTTGATAGGATTCAGCTTTTTCCCCACCTCCCAAACTCATTTGGAAGTGTAACCAAACCATAGTGCCTCACGGGTTTTTTTCTCACATGACTGTAAACAAAACTGTGTTCCCTGAATTTGGTATTAACGCATATAAAGTGAAAAAAAAATTATTCCTGAATAACTTTGGAAAATGAATTGCAGTGTAAAGGACACTGGACTTGAAATTAAATGAGCTGGATTTGAATTCCACCTCTTGCCCCTATTAGCTTTGAGGCAAGTTACCTTACCTTTCTGAATTTCAGTACTATTTTCTCTTAAATTGGAGTTTTGGATAACAATATCTGCATTTTGGAGATTTCTATCAGAATTAAAAAAGTCAGCATACTCATTATACAGATATTCATAATATCTGATATATGTAACCAGTAAATGTTGCTGAATATCTTAAATAGTAATAATGTTGGTGAACATCTAGGAATTCTTAAGTATCTTGTTTCATAGAAAAGAGGATTTTTTTTAAAGTCACTAAAAAGCAACATAAAACTCTGACTGAGGACAACTAGAATATATCTTTGCTCCAGTTCATTTAAGTGTAATGCTGGTACATCTTTAAGCCACAATCACAAAGAATATATTATTGAGTTAACAAGAATCTGATTCATGGCTTAACCAGAATGTTTGGTAAAAGTATGACTTTAATTATTGAGGGTAAGGTGTTTTGTTCCTTCAAAATTTAAAATGATATTTAGCACACAGAAGTTCTTTACAAGCTAGCAATTTATTCCATTGAACAGTATCAATATACTTATTATTTAGTAATCTTTTAAATATTTTTTTTTTATGTCAGATGATCTTTTCTGGCACCTAAGGTGAAAAAAATTTGTCCTGTACTTTGCTTTAACTATTTTTTTTTGCTTTAACTATTTAATAAAACATTTTTAAATTACTTGAATTTTTATTAAACATAAACTTACTAAATTCAAATTATATATTTAAAACAATGAATGTGCAGCCTGCACCTTTATTTACCTAATAACCTGTAAGAGTTGCTGTTTTCCTTAAAGGTCAGCCTGATTCCCCTCTTAGTCTTTCAGAGACCAGGAAGAATAATTACAGGTAACAGGAAAGTATGAATTGAGGTATATAAATTAACTAGAACCAAGGCTAGAACTTCAGGGAGATGGAGTTTTAGCTTGGTTTAAAGAAGTGTTTTGTTTGTTTTGTTTTGTTTTTAGTAATTAGAGCTTTCTGGTCATGGAACTCTCATTCTCCATCACCAGAAATGTTCAAGCCAGTGTTGCACGATCTCTCTGCAGCTCTTACAGAGAGACCTTGAAGCATACAGTGAGTCTAGATGGTAGAGGGGGGCTGGGAATATAGAATGAAGAGAGGCCTCCAGTGTTTTCATCAAGCCAGGTAATCATTTCCTTATAATACATAAAGTGGTGCTTTTGAACTCACTTCCTTAGATGACCAATGGAGTTGTCTTGGGGGCAGACTTTTATACTCTAAGTGACAACTTAACCATTAACTAAAAAAATTTCTTGCAGGCAGTGATTCTCAACTGGGGCATTTTTGACCCCAGGGTACATCTGGCAATGTCTGGAGGCATTTTGTGTTGCACAACCAGGGGCGTGCCCCTGACCTATAGGGGATAGAGGCTGGATATGCTGCTAAACATCCTACAATGCACAGGACAGCCCCCAGAGTAAAGAATTATCTGGTCCAAAAATATCCATGTTGAAATTGAGGAACTCTGCTCTATGGGAATTAAAAAATCAACTCATTATACAGAATCTAACATGTTTGGATTTTCTCTGCATGTGTGTGTCCACAGCTACCAAAGTGACTGTTTATAAATCAAATGTTAAGAATTTATATTTACAGTTTCCCAACTAACATTGGAGAGGTTTATTGATACTCTCTACAAAATTGGTTTAAATTGTAGAAAATGTATTATAAATGCTGAAGCTTTTATATGTGCATTATAGCAATATAGGAGATGAAATAGATCTGTTTTTTGAAGGGGAGGTATGAATAAGACACCAAATTGCAATAATGTATATCCTATCACCCCCTTGCACTAAAGATATTTTTGGAAGCAGTGTGCTATATATGGAATCAGTGAATTCTTTTGTAATGTGGGAGGGAAGAAATACATAATTAGTGCATTAGGAATACCAGGTTTTTTCTGTTACTTAGTTGTGTGAATTCAGGAAATACCTTTACCTTTTCTTTGCTATGGAGGTTAGAGATGAGTATGTTTATTAGCACGTTTGTTTATTTTTAATGAAATATTTATGTCTTCTAACCAGTGATAGATTGAGATCCTTAGTGTTCTTTTAAAAATTGTTTCCTGTAACCTTACACAGTGTTTTATTTGATGCAATTTTTTCAATCTATTTTCCTTTTATTGATGTTCTTTTGATCCATCAAAGTTGAAAATTTTCTATATTCCTATCTCTTTTTTTAAAAGGTTTTTATTCATTTATTTGAGAGAGAGAGTGAGTGAGAGGAGAGAGAGCACTAGCTGGGGAAGAGTAGAGAGGGAAAGGGAGAAGCAGACTCCCCGCTGAGCAGGGAGCCCTACTCGGGGCTCGATCCCAGGACTGCAGGATCACTATCTGAGCCAAAGGCAGATGCTTAACCGACTGAGCCACTCAGGCGCCCCTCCTCTCTCTTTTTGAGAAGTTTTTCCTTTAGGGCTGGAGTAGGCAAAGGGCCAAATAGCAAATACTTTCAGCTTTGTGGACTGTCCAGTCTGTGCTTCACTACTCACTTTTGCCATTGTAGTGGGAAGGTAGCCATAGACACTTTGAAAATGAGTAGGCATGCCTTATTTCAGTAAAACTTTATAAAAACAGGATCAAACCTGGTCCATGGCACTTGGAAAATTGATGTTTACACACAAGGAAACAGCTCACATGCCCTGCCCAGTTTCTCTCTCTCTCTTTTTAAAGATTTTATTTATTTATTTGACTGAGAGAAAGAGAGTACAAGTGGTGGGGGGAGGGGCAGAGGGAGAAAAAGACTCCTGTCTGAGCAGGGAGCCTGATGTAGGGCTCGATCCCAGGACCCTGGGATCATGACCTGAGCCGAAGGCAGACACTTAACCGACTGAGCCACCCAGATGCCCCAGTTTCTCTCTTTTTAAACAAATATTTAATGGTTAAGAATATGGGTATATTTTTAAATTTTCTGATTGTGTTATCTTGGTCAGGTTATTTAACCTTTTAAAGCTTTGTTTCCCCATAAATAACAGGGAGGAAATAACAGCACCTACATTATCAGATTGTTGTAAAGCTTAAATGAGAACCATGTAAAGGCCTAGTACAATCATGGGCATATAATAAGTGCTCATTAAGTGTTAGTTGCTTTTATTATCTTCCAAAATTTATATACAAGTATGGTAAGAGATAAACCACTATAATGATTTTTTGCCTTATAATAGCTAAGGTAAAAATAAATTTGTATAGTAGAAAATTAAAAATGATAACATTGTTTCGAGAGAATTGCTGCCAACTGAAGCCGAATTCACGAATTTTGTTTGAAAATACAAAAGCAAACTCAAGTCTTCCCTTGCCCTGTTATTCCATTGCTTGGGTTTGGAATTGTGGTGTAAGATAAGTATCTTCTCAATTGCTACCTAATCGAGATTATCATCAGAATTTACTTTTTTGGAATTCTTCAATGTTAGACTGTTAAAGGAAAAATACTTTAGTATTACATATTATTAGGTGAAGGTATGTTTATTTACAAATGTCAAAGTCCTTTTTACTGTGCTTTTATTGCAAAAGGTCAAAGCTATATGATTGGTATTTCTATTTAAATGTAAATCTCAAATGTCAGTCTTTTGGACTATTCATGTGTGAAACAACCAAATTACTGTTTATGTTAAGGAAATGTCTTGCATATAATATATGTTCAGGAAACATTTAACAAATTTGTAAACAAAAGATCTCAGTAAAATAAGTGATATTTTCCACTTTTTAGAGATATTTATTTGCTTTGAAAAAGTGAGATAGCAAGAAGATTCACTCCTCAAAAACCTATATTCTTGAGAAGTAAAAAATGGAAACACTTAAAAGAAACTTTAATAATGTTAACTATGCTTTCAATCTTGAGGACTAAGTGTACTCAAAGAGTAGTGCTGATGACCTTTATCTTTCTGGTTTTACAGATACAGTCAAGAAATGCAGTGTAACATCAATCTTTTATTTGGCCTAGTAGGCAGAAGGGAGCTGTCTTTTTCATTTGTAGGAAGATATATTCTAATTGAAATAAAAATATGCAACAAGGAAAACAAACTGTATTTACTGTTAGATTACCTCACTCAGTTTGCTTTCATCTGCTGAGTAATTGTGAATCCCTTGCTGTTTCTAAATGTTAATGAATAGCTAGTACAAGGAGATACCTTTGAGTTAGAGAATGAGTTCCAGTATTTCCTACCAAATTCAAAACTTTCGTTATCAAAGGATCTTATTTCTTAACACATGTAAAATTTTAAAACACTTATGCATGGCCATGAGTGCTCCTGCCAGAGGTGGCGGTCAAGCTCCCGGAGAAGCAGCACCCCTCCCCCACCCTTTCCATTGGCCTGCTCAAAGTTCTCCAGAGTTCACTGCCAAGGTAGTGGTGTTGTTTACTTGAGGCTCGTCTCTTAGGTGTCTTCTGACTTGTTCCTACTCTGCCATCTTGCCTGGAGAAAGGGTAAGAAGGGGGTAAGAAAAGGATAGCAGGGTAAGGTGTGGCATTTCTTAAATGGGAGATGAAGGGTGCGTATGTTTCTTCTTGTACATTTTGTGTAAATGGAAGATTTGGAGACTACTTGTGTGATCAATCATTCCCACATTTGGTGGACTCGGGGAAAAACACATGTTGGATTTAGCTTCATTCCCAGTATGGGGAAGGGAATGGGATCAAAGGAAGGAAGGAAGAAGTATTACACTTGCTCCTCCTTGGAGACCATGTGAATAGTGAAGGGGAGGGAATCTTTTGGTGTTCACAATGGACAAGAGTCAAGGAAGTAGTGGAAGAGACCCTCATACTGTCCTCTTCCCCAGTAGGCTACTGATCCTCACCTTCAGTTGTGTCTTGTCCAGTGTGACCCTGGCGTTTCGTATGATCAGTCATGGTCCTACCCTGAGCCCCCATCCCACTAAGAGATCCTGGGCCTCTCAAATGAAGTTGAGCTTGGGCCTCTGCAGGTTGAGCTTTTGTCCATGTGCATACTAGAGACATGAGAAAGGAGTCTTTGAAATGTTTTCCCTTAGGCAACTGAATAGGGGCAGAGTGGGGAGGAGAAAGGGTATCATTTTCATTGGACTAGGTTTATGTTTAGCTCTCAATTTATTGAGGAATTTAATACATATATTTGCATAATTTAATGAATCACAGTAAAGAAATTAGTATTTTGTTGGTTTGTAAAATGGGATAATTTAGGAAACATTAATCTAGACCAACACTCTGTTTTACCGGTGAGGAATCTTGCTTGTTACCAGAGAGGAAGATAGTGTTAAAAGCAGTAATATTAGAATCTCGTAAACCCAACTGTGTTACCCTGGAAAAGCTACCTCATCTCTGAGCATCATTTTCCTCATCTGTAAAATGGGCATAATCGCTGTCTTAGAGGCTTGTTATTGGCAGTCACCTTATTTAGTCACACAGTGAGTGTTCAATAAGTATTAACTTTTATAATTTATTATACCTTTACATAAAAACATCACAGAGGTGTGAAGAGGTATATTTCTCTCTTAAAGCAGTCTTTGTCATACATATGAAAGTATAGGTCCACAATCTGGGTTCATTATGTTAATTTTATTTTTAATTAGGGAATGATTTCTTGAGGTCAGAAACTAATCTCTGTCAGAGCGTGGAGCACAAAATTTGGGGCTTTAATTATTAATGAATTGGTTGACAAGGCAAGACGTCTCAGAAATATCAACAGGTGGCTAGCTACATCTAGCTCCTACGGATTTTTCTGTTTGAAGGATGCATGCTTGTATGTGTTAATCGTGTATTCATGCAAACATTGAAAAAACCTTTTTTTTCAATTAGGAGAGAGAAGCTCTTCAGAAACAGCTGGATGAAGCAAATCGAGAAGCACAAAAATATCGACAGCAGCTTCTAAAGAAAGAACAGGAAGCAGAGGCCTACAGACAAAAATTAGAAGCTATGACTCGTCTTCAGACTAATAAAGAAGCTGTTTAATTAACTACGAACACATAGTTTGAATTTACTTTTGGTTAAGAAAGAACACAGTCTTGAACTGTACACCACAGGAAGCCAGGCAGAAGAGACTACGGATTGACGATCGGACTTAAGCCATGAGCTCTGAATCCTTGTAACATAAAACTCTACTTTAGAAGTTGTGAAATGTATTTAAAACTGAATTCTGTAAATAGTTTTTGTTTTTTTACAGTTCCAAATGAGTTATAAAGATTGTTGAAGAGATCCAAAAACACAATAAGCCACTGTTTTTGTGAATTCTTTTTGATTTTAGTATGAACCTTAATTTCTCAGAAACAGAACAGTTTTAAGGGTGATCGTTGTTGATTAGACCAAATGTTATGTAATAATTATGTGGTGGACTGATGCTGGAATTACTCCTGTAGGTATTAACTTCTATATGAAAAGAAGATTTCTCCCAGGAAATCTTTGTACAGCTTTAAGTTGTCTCAGATTCTCTGAAAACATTTTTTAGAAAGCAAATTTTTATATTTGTTCAATTTCAGCTATACCCAAGTAGATTTACATGTATATGAAGCAAATATTTTTTAAACTTCTGTTTGTACATATTCTGCATGTTTTATAATTTCAAAATGCATCACTTGCATAGGTATTTTTCCCACAAAGATGATGAAAGTGAACTAGGGGGGAAAAATCCTTTTATTCTGTAGGTCATTGAAAGTTAAGTAAGCTAGCAGCTGGTTTTATTGGAATGACAATGTTCTTAGAAGGAGCAGCTTACAAGATAACTTGAATTTGCAAACTGCAAAATCTATGCTTTTTTGAAAATTTCATAGTGGGGACGTGAAACTGTATTCTGTGCCTTCCATCATGATTTCCACATGAAAGCACTTTAAGGCACTGGATTTTAAGATAATGTTTTTGGAATACTCAGAGCATATGGGTTTCTGAAATATTTCATGGACTCATTTCTCCCCAGGAAATTATTCTTATGGAAAAAAAAATGCTTTTGTATGTAGAACAAGAACTTTTTGTACTACAGTGATGCTAGATATGTCTAACATAACTTTTACTTTTCCCTGTGAAAGCTGTATGTCTGTGCTGTGACTGGCTCTCATCACAATATCGTTGAATTCCACAATGTATGGACATTAAACTCTGACATACTCTTCATTCTTTTTTGTAAAACATAACTTCAAGCTCTTTTTTCTTGCTTTATTTTTTAATGTCTTATGCTTTATGAACATGTTTAACCCTAAGACCCTTCTAGATTACATATCTGTATAAAGAAGCAATTACCCTTAAAACTGTACTCTGGCCTACTTTTCTATTTTACAATTAAATATCTTTTCCACATACATTCAGTGTAGACTTATATTTTGACCACACATTAAAAATCCTGTTCTGTATGTTACAGCCATATTCCACCAGAATGAGAATATATATATTCTTCACACTGTGTCTTACAAATCCTTGAGATAATTTCTTGGGAAGTTGCTCGCTCTCTCACTGGTGTTATTATAGTTGATAAGGTATTAAAAGGATCTGTGAACTCTCAGCTTCATACTTGCTATTGGGAAACTTAGAAAGGTTTGAGAGCAGATTTAAGAACCCTAAAAAGAAGAGAAAAAGACCTTTTCAGTTTTCCACTAAATTTGACATATATTTTAAATTATCTGAACAGGTTTTACAAAAGCGAAGCCATATTTTCTGTAGCATGAAGCTACTTTTTCTGTGTCTTTTCTTTCTTTAGTGCATTTATGGGTTTGTTAGGCAGAGTGCCTTTGGCATATGCAGTGCTGGAGTGGAAAAGGACCAGTATGTTTACCCCAGAGTGCAAGCCACTGTAGACTTTGCTTCCAGACTGGATTGGCCCCAAAGAGCCCTGAGACAGTGTTGGAAATGAGCCCCTGAAAGCTGATTTAATACGCTCTTTGATTCCTAGTCTCCTCTTGTGCTGGAGACTTTATCTGGTACAAGAAGGAATTTTGATTTATAGTAGCATTTGAGGTAGATGGGAAAAAATAAATTGGTACTTGAAAGGAGTAAGTCTATGACAGTATGAGGTAAATACTCAGATGTCTTTGGGAGAAGTTCACTTTTTTCAGTGTTCTGTTGGACTTGTATAATTCCTCAGTCATCTACACCTGATCCAGTATGCTGCAAAATCAATAGTTGGACAAGAATTTATAAGAAATTTAAAATGGGTTTATTTTTTTCTTTCTCGCTTCTGTTTTCAGCTGGGCTGGAAAAGCTTTGCATTCTCATTCTTGATGGTGTTTTGAACAGAAGTTGAAAGGAAGTGACAGAATGAAATAGAAGTTTTCAGAAATCCATACTTAATGTATTTCCCCTACCTAATGATGGTTTTGTCGTTAAAGGTCATTTGGTTACCACATCGATGGTTAATTATTTCCACTGATATGTGAACAAACACCTTTTAGAGCAGCCTTACTCAACTCGGGTTCTGGGAGGGAATCAAGACCTAATGCTGTAAGTTTAGGGCCTAAAGAATTAATATCTTATAATGAATTTGCTTCTTTCCTGTGCGTCTAGTATACTTACATACTATCTAGACATGGGGCTCATTAGATGACTTGATTACCTAATGATTTGGTTCAGATTTAACTTCCCTGTGTATAGTCATTGGAACTCCAGGATTACAAATTCTAAATTGGATCTGTGATGCTCTCGGAAAGCCTCATCTGGCAAGTAGTATCTGCAGGGACTGTGCTTCTTAACTAATTTTAATTTATTGTTATTTATTTTATTTATATCCTAATTACTTCCCATAAGGGCTTGTGATGTCATTTGTTTTCGTTGGCTTTTAGGAATAATTTTCTTACGTCAATAATCTTTCACGATGTGAATGGCAGACTAGTACTCTATTCTTTTACTCTGAGACTAGAGTGCTCTCTTTCTTTATGGTGGTAGAGGGAGCTAGGGAGCTTTCCTCTGTGACATTCAAAAGAACAAAGTTAAATGGAGGAGGGAATAAATGTGAAATCTCATGCCATTTTTGTTTATGACAAAGAGATTTGTATATATTTTTATCCAAAACATATCACTAATGAAAACCTATGCAGTATATTTTTCTTCAACATGATTATTTAATGATGTTAATTATTGATAATTAGAAGAAACCCTTGCCTTTCTTTGTTATAACAGGAATTGATGAGTTGATAGACCTATTCATGGGTGCTTTGTGCTGATATGACTGATTTTTTTCTCTTTTACTCTATACATAGCTTTTTCCTGATAAAATCTATAAAATTGTCTTTGCACTTTAATACCTGGAAGACCTTGAGAACTGACTCAAAATATATCAAGAAGAAAAACCTTTTCAGATAGAATCACAAAACAATTGGAGGAACCCTTGTGGATGAGTTCCATATGGAACCCATATGGATGGGTTCCCAAGGCACTAGCACTCAGGCTTATATAGCAAATAGAAAAAAAAAATCTTTTCTATTCACCTAGCTTCTATTGAATAAATAACTCCTCCAGCATGTCAGATCAACTTAGGAATGAACTAACTAATAAATTTGTTATTTCATTAAGTAATATTTACTGTACTTGGATTCATTATAGATAGCTAGTCTGTTGTAGTTTTGAATGATGTTTGCTATTTGCTTTCTCCGTGTTAAATGAGAATATCTCAGTGCATGTGGATTCAGTTTGACGTAAGTAAGCTCCCTAAATTCATTCTCAGATTACTCTGTAGAACTCATGATGGAAAATACAGTATTATCACTGGAAATATGCTTCTGGTTCCAAATCAAAATTTTTATATCAATATTTTTGTGATTTGTTAAAACTATTTTCCAAATATAGAGATATACAGAGAGATGGTCTTAATAGTTTTTTTTTTTTTTTTTATCATTTTGGTACCCTGAGCACCTTTAAAAATATTTCAACTGAATGATAATCAAATACTGAATATAGTTTGGGTATATTTCCTGAGGGCTCTTCATTTTTATTTTTTTTAAAGGTTTATTTATTTGAGAGAGAGTGAGTGCAGGAGTTGGGGTGAGGCGCGGAGGGAAAGAATCTCAAGCAGATTCCCCATTGAGCGCAGAGCCTCACATCGAGCTCGATCCCAGGACCTTGAGATCATGACCCGAGCCGAAATCAAGAGTCAGCCGCTTAACCAACTGAGCCAATCAGGCACCCCTTCATTTTTAGATAAATACTGTAACTTCCAAAAAACTTTCTGGAAAAATTTGGATGTGGTCTCTGATTCTGTCTACTATGCTTTATTAATTGCTTACTTAGTTTTTCATTTAAGTAGCTTAGATCTCATGTGCACAGTTGATATGTAATATGTTTTCTAGATTACTTAAATGTCTGACTTTTCTGAAAGAAAATAATTTTCTTACATATTTTTGTGTGTGTCAGGTAAAAGTAAAGCATTCATTTTTGTATTACTATTTTTCATAATAACTCTAGATTTGCCATCCTTATCATAACTCAGGAATTATTTCAAATTTAAATTGCATTCACTTATTTTGCTATAGAAAAATAGTATATATCAAGAAAGCTTATTCTTGAGTGAGCCTAGTCTCCTTTTTAAAAAAATTGTTGGTCTGCCAGAGAACTGCCTCTACTTCCAAATATTTTTGTCCAGTATCATAGAGACTTTTGGCATCCAACACTGAAGCATATTATTAAGTGTGCTTACTACCTTTGTTAGGTACAATTCAATACTCATTAGTTTTGCTGTTGGCTTAACAAAAACTGTAGAAGAGCACAGAACAACAATATAGCAAACGTGTACCTACTACCCAAGTTTAATAAATCTTAACGTTTATCTTGTTTGCTTCAAATCTTTTCAGAGACAGAATGTTCTAGAGGTAGTTGAAGTCCCTTTGTTTCCCCTTCCTCATCCCATTCTCCCCCCTCCCACAGCCGCTATCCTGAGGTTGAGATGTTTCAGTCTATCCACATTTTCATGTTTTTACAATACACACTGAATTTTTTACATATATGGTAGAGTTTTGTGTGGTTTTTAAACTTTAGTAAAGCTGTCATTCTATACATATGTCATTCTGCATTTTGATTTTTTTCAATTTATCAGAATTTTAGACATTTATTCATATTGATACTTGAATACTTACTCATTTTGATTATTATGTAAAATTAAATAAGAATATGCCATACTTGATTTAATCTTTGTTCTATGTATAGATGTGTCACTTCTAATTTTTTGCTACTATAAATAGTACTCTCTGTACTATATGCATACATGGTCTAAGTTTACCCCAGAAAATGGAATTGTTAGGTTTAGGGTAGTCAATTTTACTGAATTCCTTTCTAAAGTGATTGTGAATAGTGAGGAATGATAGAATTCTCATTTTCCCATATTTTACCAACATCTGATTCTGTCACACTCTAATATTTTTGGCAACCCTCATTGGTATGAAATTGTTCTTGTTATTTGCAGTTTCCTATCACCAGTGAGGTTAAACATTTTTACCCTGTTGTTTCTTGTCCTTTAGTGTTTATTCTTCTGTGAATTGCCAGTTAATGGCTGATTTTTTTTTTTTTTAAAGTAGGCTCCACACCCAGCCTGGAGCCCAATGTGGGGCTTGAACTCAAGACCCTGAGATCAAGACCTGAGCTGAGATCAGGAGTTGGATGCCTAACCGACTGAGCCACCCTGGCACCCCTGGAAACTGATCTTTTGCTGGCTGGCTGTATGAGTTGTAAATATCTTCACCCACTGTCTTTTTAAAAAAATTTTTTATATGGTCTTGATAAGTACATATTTACTGGATGTCTACTATATGCGATTCTCAATGCCTGGCTGAGGTAGCATCCCAAGTTTGATAGGAGTTTAACACTCAAGGAGTCTATAACTAAAGGTGGGATGAAATTTTAATTTATAATTTGATCCTTTTTCTTTTTAGTTCAATACGATTTCCTTTTTATAATGTATGCAGTAAGGGAAAGATTTAAGAGATGTAATATATTACCTAAGATAATTTTTTTTCAATACTTCCTCTAACTTTTGATATTTTATATCATTTGTATTTTATATATTTATATTTGGATATTGTCTATTTCAAATTATATTTGAAAGGACAATAAGTGTTTGGATTATTGCACATGATGTTTAATAAAGCCTTTGGGAGCATTGAACAGAGCCTCCCAAAATTAGAATTTCACTAGCCTCCTACTCCTAGAGGTCTGGTGTCTTAAGAGTCACAGATAACAAAATTGAGCGACATGTTGGTGTGATGGAAAGAACATGGGTATTGCATCAGATAGTGCTGGGTTCAAATTTTGGCCCTTCAATTATTATTGTGTGTAATTTTAGCCCAACGTTTTCATTGCCTTGAGACACAGTTTCTCTAGG